GTGCTAGTGGCAGCTAGGTACGTACGTAATTTGGCATAAAACTCATAAAAAATATTTTTAATTAAACTATTTCTCTATCCATCTATATAAAAAATATGTGCCATATCATGTTTTATAGACATCGGTGTCCTTCCGGTCGTGTCACGCTGCCATCGCTGGCGTGTGTTAAGTTGGCCGTAAATACTTTTGGCCTCGCCTGGTGTTTGGCATTTGGTGTCTGCTGGCTGCTGCCTGGTGCCCAAGTATTTGGATGCTGGTTTATTCGGATACTGGGGATACTGGGGATACTTGGGTGCCCTGGTGTCTTACCGTTTCTCGTTTTTGGCATCTGCTCTTTAGCCCTAAGCTGGGTTTCGGTTGTTCGTTGCTTTATGAAATATTTGTGCAGCAACTTTATTTACAAATTTTTCGGTTATTTATTGTTGGCAATTTATGCTTTCGTTATGCATTTTTCGTTTCTTGTATTTGGTCAGTTCTTGCATTCTGATTTATTGGTATTGGTGTGGGGGATGTGTGTGGGACCGTGTGGGTGCGTGTGTATTTTGCGGAAGAATGCAGAATGTGCAGGCCCTATATTCGATATGTATGCATTGTCCATATTGAAATGAGCCCACGCCCACAACCACACGTGTATGGGTCTACAGAACAAGATCTGCATAACATTTTTGGCAAATGTTGCAACAATTTTTGCAGTAAAATTGCATATTTCTTATAATTGTGGCAGATGTAGGCAAGGCTGCAATTAGTTGTTGCATATGAGAATAGGTCCTCTGGCATAAGCGGGTTATACAAGGGGAATCCTTTCAGTCCTGGGCCTCGAAAAAGCTTTCAGTTTGTTTCAGATGGCCAGGACCCCTTGTTTGGGGGAGCCTCTGGTTGAAGTGGCAAGGCTCGTATTTATTTTTCATTTTCAATATTCATTCTGTCTGTTGAATTTTCTGGGCAATTGTTTGTTGCCAGGCTTCGTTTCTGGCATTGTTCTTTCAGCCTTTTCAGGAACGGACAAGCAGCAATCAAAATCAAGGCATTTGAAGGATATTCCCCCGGATTGAACATGAAACATTTGTTCAGCTTCGACCGGGCTTAATGAAGAATGTCCTGGTTAAATGGCAATTCCGGCGAGAAAGGACAGATACCACTTCATGAAGTCTCCAGCTCTGGACAGTGTAATTAAAGATCCTCTTGAAAAAAACTCAAAACGGAAATAATCACAAGTATCCTGCCAAATCTGGACTTTGGCATTTGTCAGCCGACAGATACAGATACATATAACAACGAAGATACACGTATCTGCATTTGTAAGTACATTTCAGTGCCATTTGTGCATTGATTTTATGACTTTTATTCTATCCGCTGGCCACATAAATTCCATAACATTTGCTTGTTGTTGCTTTTTCTCATTTTTATGCATGTCGTTGGTGTTGTTTTTGGTCCGACAGTCATCATATATCACTGTCGTTGCAATTGATAATGGAGTGCAATGGCAACGCAATGACAATACGGTTGGATATAAAAATCAAATACTGGCCGCCGGGCAAACAATTGATCTGACATTTGTTGTTTTCTTGTCTTTTGTCTTATTTATGTTTATTTACTTAATGCCAAGTTATCGTATTTAAATCAAATATTTGACTAAAATATTATTTTTCATAGTAAGAATAACGACCATTGACCATTGACCATTGAACACTGAGCAGCCTTGAGCTCTTTATTTTTATTATGGGTGAGAGTGTGTGTTGTGTGATATTTAAATGGGAAATAATCAAGTTATTGGTCGTCAAAGTTGATTGTGATTGTCAATCTATACGGATTTTTGCATATGCCTACTGGAGCGCCAACTCGTCCCCTCGGTATCTCCACCGAGGGCCATGCCAATCAAAATTGCAAATACAATAATATGAAAAGCACAATGAAATAAATTGAAATACCTCAAGCTATGTAAATGGGCCAGCTTCGGCGACTGGCCAGCGATATCCTGGCCATGGACACGCACAGTAAGACCCCAAAGCTATGAAAAAACACACAGCCTCATACACTTACATGCATTCATCATACACCAAATTACACTCCCCCATCAAGCAGGTTAAAAGGAGAAGAGGCTGCCAACCTCTGCGTTTGGCTTTATATCCTGCCCTTAGCCATTAAGTCTTTCGGCACCAACCCAAACAAAGTGTGCTGGGTTCTTTACAATATACTTAGATAGATTTAATTGTAAAATAAAGAAAATCTTTTAATATTCTAGTTCTCAAATAGGTTAGTTTTGAGATGATAATGGTGAAAATGTGATTTTGCTCGTCACTAAAAGTGGCCTCAAATACTTTAAAAGTTGCATGCCTAATATTATCCCTTTAAGGCTTAATTAATTTGTTAAATAGTTTATAATGTAGTTCTAGTTCTATCGAGTTCAGTCATAATTAAGTTCCTAAATAAGAATATGTAGAAAAAATAAAAGTTAAATTTTAAAACAACTCCCTACGTTTTAGGGTATTTAAGTTTCTCTATTTAGCTTTGTGGCTTTCTCGTTTCTTCATTATTCTCTTTTTTTGATATTGCTGATGGGGGTCTGAATGCTGTTTCTGTTGCTGGTGGGACGGCCTCGTAATCAGCACTTGTGGCGCTCGAGGTCATCCGCAAAGTCCACAGGCGTTGTCGGAGTCACCATCCACGTTGTTGTTTTTGTTAGTGTTGTTGGCATTGCCGCTGTCGTGTTGCATGTGCCACGGCAGCAAAAACAAGGAGATTTCCGTATGACGCCGCTTCATCTTCCTGTTGCTGCCCGTGGGCCACATTCTGGGTTGGCTGGAATATTATAATTACAAGCGAAGCAGGCCCCCCGGCTCTGCTCTTCTCTGTAGCGGTCCCTGCACTGCGAGAAAGGTTCCTCTAAATAAGGAATTGAAGCATTCTTGTATGGAAAAAAGAATTTATTATATTTCTCTGTTTTTCTTTCTCTGCAGGCTTTGACTTGGGCAGAGGCAGTCTGTATCCGTATCCGTATCTGTAATTGTTGCTATATCTGTATACCTGTATCTGTTTCTGGAGCCTTAGCTGCTATGGCAACGTGGCCGAGGTGGTGACGGAGTCAAAGGGGAGCCCAGGTGCTGCCTGATGATATCCAAATGAAGTCGAAGCAGCGCCAAAGGTGTCCACGCTGACGTTGTGACAGTTTCAGTTACCATTCGTCTACCTACGGCAAAGCCAAGTCATTCCAAGCCAAGCCAAAGATGTGGCCAAAAGAGTCGGGAAGGGGAGCCAGGTAAGGAGAGGGTGTGAGTGTGTGTGGAGCATGTGTAAGCTGGTTGCATGTGTCTATGTGGTACAGCTGTTGCTACTGCCACAGCTCGTTGGGCGATGAATGATTGACTGACACGGCTAAGAGAGCGGGACCGCAGATGAGGAGGCATTAGGTCGAAGGCTGAGACTCTGGCCGAACAACTTCATTTCGACTGAAATTCGTGTGAAAATTATTGAGATACATTTCCCCCAGCAACGACTGGCAGTCTCCCCCACCCCCCTCCAATGACCCTTCTGCGAGCTCCTCTAAGCGGCGGACATTGGCGATTATCTTGTCCACGACTGTGAAACAAATGAGCGTCGTAGTCGCACTGAGCCGGAGATATTGCCCCAGGGATGTTTGCCGCACTGGGGCTTCAAAGAAGATAGGTTTCAGTTTGGTATCTGTATCTTTATATTGGTGTGTGGGTTCCTCTGTTCAAGGCAAAAAAACATAAAAAAAATAGTTCCCACATTCCTTATATGTGAGAATATATCGCCCTTAGTTCAATTGGCATCCATTTTTGAAAGCCTCCAAGCCATGTTTGGTTATTTGCGCTCTGGGAGCGGCACTAATAGGCCCACTAATGGAGGCTGAGCGGAAATCTAGCCAACTAATTAACATATCCAATAAAATACAAATTAATATTCAACTGGTTTGGGAGGTTTACTCATTTTCTAAACGTAAACTTAGTTTTCTTTTGCAATTAAGAGTTTTCCGGTTGGAACTGAGATTTGGATTTGGTTCTTTTCAGACCAGCGGCCAGCGGCCAGATTTAGATATTCGGATAGTGAAGGAGAAGAAACTGAGACTGAGAATAAGAAATCACCCGCCGGCTATCTGAGAGATACACTTCTTCCCATTTTCATTTCGCATTGTCTGTGTTGTGTTTACGTTGTAAATGGCGGTTGCAACTCTCCAGCCCCCAACCCCCACCGACCCCCCTTTCGCGCTCTCGAACAAGTTCGATGTTGGCTGCCGTGAGCCCCGAAGTTCTTGGCCAAAAAGCCGAAAAGTATCCGTGATTTACGAGCATCTTTGGACGCTCACAAAAATATTTTTAAATTATCCAAATTGTAGCAGCCCGACCTGAGGGGTTAATTCCACGGATTAGTCTGCCCCGGGCCAGTGACATTTATTTGATGCCAATGTCCGCGTTGTTTCTTTTAGCGGGAGTAGAGGTCTGAGGGGGGATTGGTTAGAAAAGGGGTTCCCACCTGCCGACAGGTGAAAATACAATAATCATTTTCCCATCAACCAGCCTGTATTTTTACACACACACTCTGTTCCTGTTGCCAATCCTTTGTCGACAATGGAATTTCAATTTTCGCACCGCAAAATGTTTTCGCAACACGCTCCGGCAATTTAAATTTATGCATGAACATTTTCTAATACCACTTAGAATAACAGAAATAATTTATTATTTTTAACACTTTACAATTTCCGTGAATTCGCGAATGGCTCTGCTCCACACTCTGGTGTGTGGATGTTTTTGGTTCTATTTTGGCACAACAACAAAGCTTAATATTTGTTTTTCATTTGTTAGAGCTGCATCAGGTGGCTAAAATGGGGACAAACGGAGGGTGAAACGGCAAGGGGGTGGTTGAGCATTGGACAAAGAGAGGTGTTGGACCGCGAGTCCCATTCAACACCATAGTTGGGGCGGCGGACATCAGAGAAAATATCCATTTATAAATATTTTACAATAAATATTTCAATACGAAAATCGAACTGAATAAAACAGTATTGCTGCCATTTTATTATTCAAATGCAGAATGTTTGATTAATATTTGAAATTTCTCTCTAACTGGCATCAGAAAATGGGGATGCGCATCTTTCGCATCACGTAGTAGAAAACCTTCATTAGTGTCCCTGATTTTTTCATTATCGAAATGTAGCGCCATTCCTCGGCCACGTTTTCGTTGACGTCATAGCACAGAATGTACCATAAGTAGAAAGCTATGCCAAACAAAATAATAAATTTATAGGCAGAATAATGATCTGGAAAGGAAAATGTTGTATCACTATGGAATAGTTATCGCTAAGATTACCTATTGCATTCACAATATTCTGTATGCATTCAGCAGCCCAGCTTGAAAAGGATGTAGTCTTTGGCTTACATATGGTCTTTCTCTTACTTGTGCTCTTTGGTCTATGGACCTTTTTTGGCCAATGATCAAATGATTTTGTCAGTGCCACATCAGCTTCCCCAGCTATTGCCTTAAAGTATTTAACATCACCATATACCTCTGGATCTAAGCACTTTTCTGAGGTAATTTTTGATGGGGAAGACTCCGGCCTAGATGAGTAAGCCACCTAAAGACCAAAATATATATTTATTTTTCTGCCATATTAGAAAAAAGTTTATCTTACAAATTCGGTTTCTTTTTCTCTAGGCGTGACCTTTGTCACCGGCTTTTCAGTAGCTTCTTCGGATTTTTGAGGCTTTGGCTAAACAAATTTCTTTATTGGGTACTAATACTTTTAGAAAACACCACAAAACTCACCTTATTAGATAATTTTTGTTCAGGCATTGCTGAAAGATTGGGCTTTTCGTACTTCTCTATATAGGCTTTCTCAAAAACCCTTTTCTAAAGAAACTCTTTTATGAGACTATTAAAGCCCTTAAAAACAACACGAAACTCACCTTATCAGCCATAAGGGAGAATTCTTTTTCAGGCATTGCTGAAATATTTGGTTTGTCGTTTTTCTTTACAAATGCCCCCTTAGCCACCTCCATCTAAAGAAACTCCTTTAATGGGCAATAATAGTTCTTAAAACCACCTCAAAACTTACCTTATCTGAAAGATTTGGTTCATTGCTTTTTGCTACATAAGTCTCCTTAACAACCTTCTTAGCCCGGTCTTTTCGTAGGAAACGTTTTCTAGATGATGCAATTATCTCGCTGCTCGTTTCTTTTTCGAAAACCACTGTTTTAGGATTTTGTTCTTCTTTACACGACGGCTCATTTTCCTGGAGCATCATGGACAGATCGTAAAGTTCAGCATTTTTTGACTTCGAAGTGCGCTCTCGGAGGCTGGGCAACGTGGGGCTGGCGGTCAGGTGGCGAGGATTGACACCTTCTACAGGATCAGTTCTCATCTCGCCGTTGGCTGTTACCTTTGTGCGAGTGGCAGTAATAGAAGTTACCCTGTAAATTAAACAATTAAATACAAATGGATATTTTGGGATAACTAATCTTACGAATCAGCGACAAACTTCCTTTTCGGGTACAACTCCTCTACTTCCTTTTTGTCTTTTTTAGAACCGGATTTTCTATAAGAAAATAAATAAATTTTATATATTTAGACGGAATACAAAATTTATTTATTTAGAAAAAAAATAAACTTACGGTACAGCCTGCACACGCTTCTTGTTAATGTACATTTTAACTAAGTGCCGATCAATTTCCTCACGACAAAGCATCCTAAGGATGGGAAAAAAAAAGTTTTTTGATAAAAAGGTTTTGGAATTTAATTTTAAGAGGACTTACGGTTCATTCATGTATTTATGTGTTCTGTCCATTTTCATTTTGTTTATTTCCCCTTCATCCTGAGAACTTTTTCTATAAAAATAAATATTTTAAATAATAAATTTTTTAAATTTATTTAATTAAATAATGTTAATCTAAAGTACTACTTACGGCTTGGCCATGTATTTGTTGCTAGTGAACATATTGTCTTTTAAAATATCGCTTTCCCATGGCCTTTGAGCCACTTGTCTAAAAAAAATATATTATATTTTATAGAAATGCTCAATTCTTAAGAATGATCATTTTAGAAAGATTAGGCTTACCCAATGGTCAAATCATCAGATTGTAGATCCTTAGAATTTAAATTTGCACTGAAAGATAATATACATAGGTAAAATGTTAGGTACTTTAAAGGAATTGAAGAAAGGTTAGCGTACTAATTATAATTCGGATTTCCGTGCATCTCCTGAACAGGTTTATCCCCTGGTCGTCTAGAAAGAAGTTGCTTTTGTTCTTTGCAGTTTAGAAGCTTAAGCTTACTTACCGACGACACAAGTTAATGGGCAGCATACTTCACTTTTTTTTTATTTACTCAGTAATGCTCATATGAAAATATAAGAGTATATTAATGTATCTTGCTACCAATTCGAATGAACAGTCAACGTCTACTAACTGGTTTCAATATTGTATAATTTCGTTTGTGCCTGGGGGCTTTGTTCACACATTTTCACATTAATATGCAATTAAAACAGAATAGTTGCTAGTTGCAACTGTTGCAATTGCATGTTGCACGCTGCGAGTGTTGCGCAGGCGCAAATCCTTGGGCGATTCTCCTCAACCCATCCTAGAGATCGCCTCGAGGACTCCTTCAGCTTCTATCTCCGGCTGCTTCCGACCCGCAAACCCCATTCCCTCCTTCTTGCCCCGCCGCCAGCCCACCGCCCTGGCCCCCACTTCCCATCAAAGCGTCTAAGTCCTGCGGCAACATTAGCACAGCGAAGCGTACAGGACGACGCTGCCGCAGTCGCTGCCTCTGCTCTGTCTCTGCCTCGGCTTGCCGCAGGCCCGTTTTTCATGCAGCGACGCTTTTTCTCTGAGCAGCAGAAGCAGCAGCGACAGGAGCTGCGGGGAAAACGACAAGGTTGTCCTCAGCGGCAGCGGCAGCAGCAGCGGTCCCATCCGCAACTCCTTCAACTTGGATCCGCACTTGGTACATAAGCCCGTTGTACATAAGCATCATACCACTGGAAAAAACTTTTGCTAAGATTAATAAGAGATTATTAATTATTTCTGTTTTTTAAATGAGTGAGAAAATCATACACACTAACTTAAATATGTTTAGTAAGAAACCCATTAAACTCTCAGATTATTCAGCATAGTGTATGTAATCAGACACTTATCATAAAAGAGGATAAGGATTCCTTTCAATGTATGTTGTTTTATAAAAACTTTATTCAATACTTAGGGTACTACAAAGTTAGTAAACGATACTTAAATACAAAAAGATTATTCAAAAGTATACTTTCAGTTTGAGGAACCTAATTTAATATTTTTAAGAAAACCCGGAGAATATTTCAGAGTATTTAGCCAAGTGTAACGATGACTGGCGGCCATTTGGTGTGGAGCAACTAAAATGCAGTTGTTGTTGCTTTTTTCGCTTTTGCCCGTATTTGTCTTCTGCCGTTGCTGCCGCTTTGGCATTGTTGGCGGTTCTTTGCCATGGCCCGAAGCTATTTGAGGCAAGAACTTGCCTCCCGGCCATCGGCGGACAGCAAAAGCAGCTGACAGGACGACGACTTGACTCCGGCTTTGACTTGAAGAGTTGACTGACATTTCCTTTCTGGCTTTAATTGCGTTTGAACTGCCCAAAAAAATATATATGTACATGTGTATATATTTAATAAAAATGGAAGATCAAAACCAGAAATTGAATAGATACTTGTTCAATTAAATGGGGAGCTGTGGGGGAGCGAAGGAGTGGGTGGGCTGGATTATTTTGGATGCCTTGAATGCACTTTGATTTCGTTGCATGCAACTGTCAGTTGCATAAATTTCCAAGCGAATGCATCCACACAGAAATATTTAAAGACGGGATGAGGGGATCGGCAGGATACAGGTGGCAGGAGGGGCTAAAAGCTTCGTTTGTTGCGCTTATTCATTCGAATGTTAATTAAATTGTGTTTAAACTGCATCGACTTTCGACATATGCACCGACCGACTCGGTTGCCTGCTCATTGAAGCGGCTAATTTGATCAGAAAAACTCTTATTTATGGAATGCATTCCCATCTGTGCATCCTTTGATGGGGGAAAGACGGGATTATTATGGACTGATGGCTCAGGACCAAAAATTCTATAAAGCACGGCAAGTTTTGGCTAGATTCAGTGGTTGAATCTTAAAACAGATACGATTGGCAGCAAATTAGATTTATTTTAAAGTAAAATGGATTTTTCCTCAGATTTTATTATTTTTGCTCAGCGCTATCCTAAAAGGGTTAATTTAATTTAATGTTAATTTAAGCCCTGGGAAACTTATCTTGAAATATAGCCTCTTTCTCTACAAGAGCCGAATATCTGTTTCGAATATTCAAGAAAAATGGCAGTACTTCCTGCAATGCACATCCTTAAGCCGCAAACAAACAAAATGGCAGACAGGAAACGTCAGCAGCATTGCGGCATAAGTTCCGTTAAATACGAGCATTCCCGCCCGAAAGGAGGCCCGCCCGGCCGTTCCTGCTGAATGGAGTTCCTGCTGCACGGGAAATTAAAACGTTGCCTATGCGGCGTATGTGTAATATTATTGGCACACACTGACACAGGATGCGGGAGACAATGCTTCCCGTTTGGAGGTTGGCAGATAACACCCGAGCCTGGTACTCTGCAATAATCATAATAATAACAATGGCCGGCTCCATTTCGGAGTCATTAAGCGTCGTTTTATGACCGTTTTGTGGGTGCAATGGCGCCTCCAATGGAGCTACCACTCCAACCCATGGCCGAGCCCGGCCTTGTCGGTTCTATCCTGGCCAATTGGTATGCATATTTGGCTATTAAGTGCAACTTGGAGAGTGCGGGCGAAAGAGTTATCTTCAAGCCACTAAATTGCGCCTGATAAACGCGGCCAGAATGGAGGCAAGGAGGCCAGTGGCCACTGCCACAACTACCACTGCCAAAACTAGCAAAACTTTTGGCCTCGGCCATCGTATCAGCTGAAAGAAATTTTAATTAAATGTCGCCGCAAACGATGCGGTAATATGAATCGAGTCAAATGGAGAGCATCGGAAGCAAATCGCATCGCCCGGTAATCCCAGTTCCAGGTACGGGCCGGGGCATTATTTTAGCGTTCAATATGATTGCGGCCTGGCGGGCCAATCCATTGGCTCAATTTATCACAATGCCAAAGCCACAGCCAGGCCAGAGCCAAAGCCAAAGCCGAAGCAGGCCAAGTTGGCCAGGCGCTTGACCAGAAATCAGAAATGAGCCGCCGCATGAGCGCGAATCCGTTGCCCCTGTCAAGCGCCTCGAATGCACTTAATACCGTTTTCTGACAATCCCCACTAAACGGCAATGTCACACTGAAAAAAAACCAATTAAACATAAAAATATTGGAATCTAAAATGGATAAAGTTTTAACGAATATCAAGATGAAGATTCTAAGCTGTAACTTGTTTTTAGGACTTTTATTATAAGTTTTAATTTTGTTTTCAGTGCATTCTGAATTGCATTTCATGTGTCAGCGTTTTTAAGCGTTTTGGCCCCCCAGCGTTCGCGGCTGGGATTTCGAATTGGGGTCCGTGCCATCCATTGAAGGCTAATTTATAGAGTGAGAGAGCGGGCGCTACGACCCCCTTATGCGAGTTGAGCTATTTAATAAGCAAACAATGCTGGAGTAATGCGAAAAGAAATGGAAAATCCTTTAGCCCTTCAAGTGCCCAGGGTTATGAGAAGGAGAAATGGATGGGGTGGGAAGGGGCGATGGAGGTGGCTAGGAAGCTGGGGAAAGAGTTACAGGAGCTTTGACGTATCACTGTGAAGTCAAAGAAAGATTAAAGTTTTCTTTAGATTTAATTGAGGTTTAGGGATAGTTTACGGTTGTAAGCTCAAGGTTCTTGAGGGTTTTAATATTTGTTGATTGTCCTAAGTCCAGTTTAGAAAAAGCAATATATCTATATCTTCTTATCTAGTTCAAGGTACTGGCTGTCTTTACTTGCCATGTCTTACTGTACCTTTAGCACGTTGAGTTCAAAAATTCATCATTGTTGGCGCTGCTGCATTGTTGCCAAAACCCCGCTCCTGCTGCTGCTGTTGCTGTTGCTGTTGCTGCTGCTGATGCTGCCGCTGCTGTTGCTCTGTTCCACCGCCCCTGCAGCCCGCTTCAGAGCCCCTTCCCCCCTCGGGCAGCATCGTTTCCCTTAGTTTCTCCTGCAGCCAGGCAGCCAGCTCCCCCACTTACCGCAAACCGAAACTGACTGATGCCTGGGAGCTACTTTTGGGATGAAATATTATAATTACAAGCGAATGTCCCGCGGCCAAGGAGGAGCAGGAAGGGCGGGGTGGGACAGAGAAGTGGTGGGACGAGGGAGGCGGTGGCGGTGGTGGAGTGGTTGGAAGCGACATCAGGCAGTCCAAATCTCAACTCTGGCTCGTTCGCTCGCTCGCTCTCGTCTGGCTGCCGTTTCTCTCTGTCTGTGCTTCCATCTCTGTCAGACATTCAGTGTTTTTGCCCTGGGGGCTCCTTGTGCTCCATCCCCACCTCCATCGGCTGCCTCGACCTCCTGCTTCTTCTTCAGTCGCAACATGTTCGTCGATGGGTTGTGTTTATGTGGGCGCCTGCCGGCACTGATAATTTAGATGCGTTGGCTGTGATAAGCCTTGAAACTGGTTTCAATGTTTGCAACATGTTCGAAGCGGCAACAGTTAGGTGTAAGCGAGATGCCAGCTATGCTCCCCCTCGCCACCTGCCTCCAGCTCGGCTCTATTCTCTTCTGTTTTATTGTGGGTGGCTGTTGGGCTGCTGGGCTGCTGGGCTGAAGGGTTCGATGGGTGGTTGGGGCTAACCCGTTATTAATTGCAACTCGATGGCTTGCAGGTATTTATTAAGTTTTTGTTTAATTTCTAAAACAGGCTTTCATTCGCAATCGCATTTGTATTCCTATTTGTCTCTCGTCTCGTTTCTACTCGTCTCATCCAATTTCGAATTAATTCAGGGCGCGTCAAACACACAAACACACGTACGGCTGTCAGTTTTATTGAAAATTAGCCTGCAGTTAATTTTGGCCATTAAATTTCTACATTCCCCCACTGCTCCCCGCAACCCCTTTGATATCCAAAAGTAATGCATGCAGATTATAACTTAAATATGAAATGTCACGCATTGACAGGCATTTTTGAAAAGTGTGCAACAGCAGCAAGTTTTGAGCCTCCGGGCCAATCCGTTTATGACCGGAGCCCGAGAGTGGCTCTGCAGCTGGGTGGGGGCAACTGGAAAGCTGGATTGCTGGTGAGATGGATGTGGATACGGGGGCCTCGGATCGGATCAGCATCTCACGCCATGGGTAGCCACAAAAGGCAGACCACAAAGGCACCACCAACAGCCAAACGGCAAACAGAAACAGGAATTTATGTGGCCTTTTGTGGTGGCTTCGAGGCGAAAGTGTCC